TGGGGTTTTAACCATCGTTTGAACAAAACAAAACATCTAAGATAACCCTAGTCGGTTAATCTGACAATGAATAAACAGAATAACTGATAGAGAAATATATCTTTAACTACAGCTCTAAATCATGACATTGGTCAGCAAATTCAGCTTCACAATGGAAAGAAAGTATTGACCATAACTGAGGTTGGTCAGAACTCATGAGATGTTCATTTAAATGTGGTATGTGTGAAAGAAGCAGATTTGTAAAAAGTACATTGGAAACTAAACGCAGCAGAATGATGAAGTGCAGGAAATGCATAGAACAAAGGTCACCTTCAGTAAATCCTTGAGCTCCTCCATAGTTGTTTTACTCGCCACCTCATCGTGGACTGTCTGGCCACAGTTCTTCACCACTGACTCCAGGACCTGAGGGGTGAGGTCACATGATCATTCAAAGAACCATTTTGGGCAAGACAGATCAGAAATCCTTATTGCTAAAGCATGATGATTAACAGTGACCTCTTCTATTGTTGCGAAAGGGGAACCATGTTCAAATCACAGAGTGTTCAGTGTGTCTTTTTAGAGCACTCGTTGGGCAGCAGTTATACTTTTAGTGATGTATTCCCAAAAACTATACTAAAGAGTCTTTCCTAAGTGTATCAACAGTCAATTCATTTTTGCAGGAAATACACACTGCCTTTCATCCATAAAGTTTCAAAAGTTCACCCAAAAGTCAAAACAGCACACTAACAATCAAAATGCTGTACATACCTCAAGTGCGTAGAGAGCCACATGTGGATTTTTGTCGCTAAGCTTCTTCTTGATGGCCCCAACAGCATATTTTGCTCTGCAAGAACAAATTCCAATATTGCTCAACAGAAAATAATCAATAAATAAAGGCAGCAACGAAACAAAAGCAATAAAACCTTTGGGAATTAGCGCCATTCAACTACCACTAATGATATGAAATATAGAGGGAAGGGAAGTGGGCAGAATCACTCACTGTGCATCTCCTTGTCGGATGAGATCACAAATCTGCAGGATGGATTCCCAGTCAGTCTCCAGCAGCAGCTGACTGGTGGCTTTATCTGCAATCATACAAATGGTGAATAACATATGTATTCTGTGCCACAGAGTATCTGCTACACCAAACCAACATTTCTTAAGAGGCATTGCATTCTCCTCATTACACTCCTAGAAACATGCTCAATGTTCTTCTGCTCTTTATATAGATATCAATTATATCTACACTCAGTTTATTAGATACGCACCGACAGCATCCAAAGTGAGACAGTCTGTAATAAACCCTGCTTTTAAGAAGGGTTATAATATGCAGGTTATGTTAGAACTGCTTTAGATGGGAACTGAATCGCCTTTGAAATCATTTTGAAGGCTTTAATATGTGGTGAAGTTGATATTGTATAAAAGGTGATTCAATGTTGTTGTATTTATACAGTGTATATATCACTATACAATACATGTCATACAGCTATACATACATGTCAAATATCTGTTTATGGGTGCTTTTGAATTGATACAGTGATGTTTTCTCTAGTGAATAGTTTTACAGTAATTACTGTGTCATAAGAAAATACCCTCATTTGTATGTCAAACAACCATGATTGTTTGTATGATTTTACGAGAGGAAAAAACTAAATTCAACTGAAACATGCTGTTATTTTTAAATGTGTTTGAATATGTTTATTTACCTAATGTTGAGGCCCTGTGTCAACATCTAGTTTGAGGAGCCAACATTACACAAATAGGACATTTGAAAAATGCAAAGAGGGTTGTTTATCACCTGAGGGCCAGTAGCTTAAAGCCATGTTCACACAGTGTGTTAGTGTTGTCTCCCAGTTGGTTATTACAAATTAAGATATTGGTGTTATCTCGCGTGAATGTCCATTTTAGACATTTCAATGACACAGTAGTTTATTTCCTATGCTAGTGGTAGTGTAGGCTAAGATAATTAGCCATCTTCTAAAGTGACCTTAACCAGCGCTGTTAATGGGAGGTCATTTATTCAAGGTAACGTGTACAGGGAGCCGATTAGAAGCTAGCTAATCAACCTGTTGTTGACTTAAACAACACATAAAGTTGGTTATCTCAGAAATTATATAACAATGTTGTGTTGGGCTGCTTGGCTTTCTTGGACGAGCCATGTCATCAGTTATACTGACGTTATTCACCAGCTAACATTTGATCGTGTGAACCTCCATGAACCTAAAAGAAAACCAACAACATGGATTAACCGGCTGATAGTACGGAGATAATAAAGTAACGCAGATTTGATTAGAGTTCAAGCTCAGTTCAGGTCTATATGCTGTAAAATGTATTATCTCTTCGATTTACACACGGCATCTATTGCACGTCTGTCCGTCCTGGGAGAGGGATCCCTCCTCTGTTGCTCTCCCTGAGGTTTCTCCCATGTTCCCCTTAAACTGTGGGTTTTCTCTGGAAGTGTTTCCTTGTACGATGTGAGGGTCTAAGGACAGAGAGTGTCGTATTGTCATACTGATATTCCGAACAATCTGTGCTGTTGTATTTGCTGTAAAGTGTCTCTACTGTAGGCTATTTTTATTATATGTACAGCACTTTGGCTCGACCAAAAATCGTTTATAAATGTGCTATATACATAAAACTTGATTTGATTTCAAGCAAAAATAAGGGTCTAATGAGATGGTATTCGCTACTTAAATAATCGGGTTGCTAAGTTAAGTCTCCCTGGGCCTCCAAACAATAGGAGTGAATTGTTAGCAGGCTAAAATTAGCTGGCCTGAGACTGAGCCACAGCCCAACGTCTGTCAAAACAATACGCTGAAAAACATCGCACTTTGACTTACAGTTGGCTAATACTATTAACTTAACAAGTCTGATGATAACTTACCAAGAAGCCGTTCAAAGGTACCTCCACCTTTTCCCATATTGGACTCGGAGTCTCTCAGTAGCTGTCGAGGCGTCCTGTTTAGTGAACGGATCCTGGTATTTTCCTCGATGATTTTCTGTTAGCCTCTCTGTTAGCCACGAAGCAGCACAGCTGTGCAGCTCTTCCTACTTCCCACTTCCGCCGCAGAAACAACAACATGGAGGGGTGTCTCCCTCTAGCGACTCATATATGCAACAACAAGTAAGACTACAGTTAAAATGTGCTACAGTATATAATGTTGACTATTATTTTTGTTAATTGACAAATTCATTATATACAATAGTTATGGTAAAACATAGATGCACATACAGAACAGATAGGGTACAAATACATAATGCAAAACATAAAATCTAAATATTAAAAGACAATAAGCCTACATAAAAAACAGCAGGTTTCAAGGGAAATGTGTCACAACTTATTTCACAAATGCTTATTAATTGTGTTGTTGTTTATTATCATATCACTTAAGTCATTTTATTATTATTTGTGGAATACATTATGTTTACAAAAGGCACATGGCATGTCCTCTGTACATTTATATGAATAGAAAAAGAAGAATTTAAAGTGTACCTTAATACCTTAATTGCTTTGATAATACAATACTTATATAATGTAGCTAGTTTATGTAATACATTTTGTAATTCCAGAAAAAACTTGCCTTAGGTTTTTGGTTAATATGTTTATTGTTACAATGTACAATTGTTTGTTTAGTTCAATTACATTCAAAACAAGAACTATTTCCACCCTTGGCTTTACATCTCTTTTTTACTTTTTTTTATTTGAAGCAAACCCTTTCTCCCTTTAAACCTGTAACCATTGCTCTGACAGTGCCCTTAATTAATACAAGGTTTTATTTTATGTAGAACATAATATCTTCATCAGCTGGAGTATTGATGTCGAGGGGTTTTTACCTCACTAAGAATGATATCATTAATTATTTATTAGCACACTTGTATGATACATTATTACTATAAGTGGGCTTGTAACAAACCTTTTTTAGCTCGTTTACCCACTGCACTGATTATTTACAATGTAAGTGCATTTGTCTTACTCAACATTTTCCCGTTACATTGTTCAGTAAAATAGCACAGTCCGCCTTACTGTATTCACTATTCTACATTAGTATAGGCCTGCTTAGGTCATATATGAGTCACTACCTGGCACTTGGTACACTGGTGCCCATTGTTATCATGGTGCTGTAGTGCTTTATAATGTGGCATTGTGTTGCTCTGTCCTCTGCTGTTAGAGACGGACAAAAAAACGTTTCATTGTTTACACCAATTACAAAGGAAATACTAGGGTATATTTTATATGCAGTTAATGATGATATGCTAGATTGGAAAAGTACGACAATTCAACATTTCATGTCAGAATATGCAGTGTGCTAACTATAAGGTTATCTAATGGTTTAAATTAACTGAAAATGTATTTTGAAACTCTCTTTGGATGTGTATTCAATGTTATCATTTCACAGCAAGGAGCACAGAATCCGAGGGATCTGAACAATGTCTCATGAATAAAGATTATGCTTTTTCCACTGTGGCTTGTAACATCCCACATAAAATGCATTCACACAGAGAGACACTGACAGATAGGCACGCACACATGTGTTACAAACTTGTACATTCTGTGTTGATCTGTATTTAACTTAATATCATAACTTTTTGGATATTCAAGATAGGTGATTGGATGTAATCTTTAGCAATATCAGTAAATTCTTGACTAAAGTGTTTTTGACAAAGAATAGGAGGTTCTCTGGGATACCGCAATAACTTGTACTATGAGAGCTGTTAATGAAAGGTATACCATTTATATGTTGTGAAAGAAAGATAATTTGTTTTTCTTTGTCCCTGGTACGGGTAGCCGAGGCAGGGAAAAGGAGATGGAAGATAGGAGATAGAGGACGACGCACAACAATATGGCACCACAAGCAAATGTACACACATCTCCATTGTTCTATTGTTCCTCTCCACTCAGCGGAACCCCTAGTAGTGTTTAAACAAAGGAGCAAAACAAAGATTTTTATTTAAAACTACTGTAGCTTACTACTTCTCTCACACAATAAGATTTTGTATTGTAAAAATGTGAAAAAACACCATTTCCCTCAGTAGAGGACCAAAAACTTTTATTGTATTTTACAGTGACAGACAGAGAACAAGGTTATTGAAGGATATCAGATATGAAATAATAAAATAAGTTCAATTATCTCTAAACAGCCTCCTGTGGCTTTTCAGAGAGACTGGAATAACATTAAATATAAAATAATTACAAGGAGCAAGATCAAAAGAAGAGAAATATGGGTTGGTCATCGTTTGGGGTGTATTTGTGAGACTTGAAGGCTTTCAGAAACTTTGGAAACTTAAACATAACCTTTGACTTGGCTGGCGGGTGCCCTGCGAGGACTACTCTCTCCACTGCTGAAGGTGGGAGAGCCTGGGAGGCCAGGGGGGCTTGACCCAGTGTAGATCAGAGACCCCCCAATGAGAAGCAAGGCTGATGCACCCCAGCCGATGTAAAGGGCAGGGCCCAGCTCACGCTTGTGTGGGGCTGCGACATGTGGATCGTAGAAATCTCTGATGATGGAGTGGGCAGTCCAGCAGACGGGCACTAGGTAGAGGAAACCTGCGATCGCAAAAATGATGCCAGCGATACGAGCGATACGGGCCTTGCTACTGCTTACGCCAATGCACTTGGTGCACTTGACTCCCAGGACCCCTAGAGCTAGACCCAGGCCACACATCAGGATGGAGAGCACAGTGAGGCCTCGGGCAGCCTGCATGTCACTGGGCAGAGCCAGCAAGCTGTCGTACACCTTACACTGGAACTGACCTGTGCTCTGAACAATGCAATTCATCCAAAGACCTTCCCAAATGATCTGTGCCGTCACTATGTTGTTACCGATGAAGGCAGTGACCCGCCACAGGGGCATGACACACACTATAAACCCACCGACCCACCCAACAATGGACATGATCAGGCCCAGCAATTGCATACCCGTGGTTGCCATGGCGAAAGGTGTTGTTTGAATCAGATGGATTTGTCTCTGTTTTTATTTCAGTCTTTGTTTGTTGCAGAGGGACTAATAATATAGTCCCACGACGAAATGTGACAGTCTACAGTACTGGAAACGTTGTGTGCCACTGTAGTCCTCAGTCTCCAGGTGATGAAGTGCAGCTTGGGTGAGACAAGGATAGGTATCCTGACATTCAGAAATTACAAAAAAAAAGGTAGAACCAATTTAAACATATAGTGCAACAAATCAGGTACAAATTATTTCAAACTTTTCATTTCATTTGTGAAGCATGAAAGGACTAAGTAAAGCATATATTTATCATAAATATGTTTGTTACAATGCCCATGTTTAGTGGATTCCAGTGAGGACCACAGAGAATAGCTGTCTTTGACACAGCTGTGGGTGTCGAGCTACGCCTTGCCTGGTGAGTGGATTATCTCGGAAAAAAACATGAGGAGATTCTGAACACAAGCATCTTTCATGAAGGCTTTGTCGAGTGGGCCAGGAGAACCTATGTCATCTTTTTATTACAGCTCTCAGTTGTCCACATTTGACTAATTCAGTGAATCAAACCCTCCCAGCTCAATACATCCAGGAGTTGCTCCATGATAAGGATTGATGGAAAAATGCCAAAAGAATACGCTTTACTGAATAGACCCTTTTTGAAATAAATGTACAACCAATTGATACCCATCTGATGGGATTTCTATTACATTTGAACAAGTCACTTTCCTATTTAAAGTCCTTTCAGGAAATGTGGCAAGCAGGAGCTAAACTCCTGGCTCCAACACCAAGAATACAAATTGCAAAATAGCTAAACATCAGGAATTAGATACAATAGAATAGTTTTTTTTGTGAAATTAATATTTGAAATGTCACAGATGTACGAATATTGTAAAATATAATTACCTCAATGAAGTTTATCGGACTCTCGCTTCCTCTTGGTTCACAGGTTATTGTTGCTGGTCCTTTGCTTTTGTGGAGGGTTTGGAAGCCAAAAGTTGTGAATGACGGCCCTGAGATATTCAGTTGGGTCCACAGGAAGGCTGCAGAGCAGGGGAGGCTCTATCTCAGAGGTCAGCTTAACTGAAGAGGGTCGATCAGCTTCGACACCCAGCACTAGACTGGAGATGGGGCTGCCCTCGGAGATGCCAGCGCAAGTCTGTGCGGCAGTGGGCAGAAGCATGCGCTTGTGTGCACGACCATGTAAGTGTGTGAATGAGTGAATGTGTTTGAGTGTGTCTCCCAGTGCCTGGTGTACAAGCACAATGCCCTGCTGTTTGGCTCGGCCCTCCCTTCCCTGCTCTTCGTCAACCTCTGTCCCAACCCTGCATCCATCCAACTCTGCCACCCAGTTTCTCCTCTTTTTGCGACTTTGACTCACTTGTTCATTTATAAGAGTCTTCTTTTTTCTTCTACCCTCCTCTTTCCCTTTCAATCTGTTTATGGGTTTCATTGAAGTTTTCGAGTGTAGGGAGTCCGTCCTCAGGCAACCTCTTGTTCACTGTTCTGACAAGGGAAATGTATTTCATTGTTCATATGGATCTGTTATTAAATTAATATATTTGACACACTTAATTGAAACTGAAAAGATAATCACAACAAATTATAATAATTATACTGGAGATTTATAAATATAAAATAAGAAGTGTGAAGTTTAGATGCTGCAGAAACTAGAAGAGATGATTAAGGGAGCATCGTTTTTTCCACCATGCAGGCGACCAGGACTGAAGAATGGGTGAAGCCTGTCGGTAAATGTATCTGTAAAGGTGTAAATGTGGACTCCTGATTCTGCGCAGTAGAAGGACACACGGCCTTCTCTGTAGTCCAGAAACACGCCCACCTTTCTGGGTCTCTGCTCTAGAGCCAACGGCGTGACAGGAGAGGTGTTGGCTATAAACTGGCCGCCAGCCTTCAGGCTTAAAGTCCAGAAACCATTTGCAGGGCACACGGTGAACTTGCCCTTCCTGTTTATCGATTGTTTGACAACACCCAGGTTCCACTCGATCTTCTCCCCAACCTCCACCTCCCAGTAGCATCTCCCGCCGCTGAGACTCTCTTTGGCCAGCACGTTCGCCACACGGTCGAACCGTTTGGGGTTATCTGGAAGCTCCCGAAGCTTGTCCGTGTGTCTCACCTGTTTTCTGTCCTCTGAGACAGAGAGGAAGGGGTGGGCTGTTTTAGCGCTCAGATTAACATCCACTAAGAAAAACAAAGGACAAAAGGTCAACAATAGGTCAAACAGCATTGACACCCTTGGCACTGTGAAACTACTGGGGTTGGTTCAACTCTAACCTGGTATCAGCTGATTAAATGGCTGAGCTATCAGTCGCTATCATTTCTATTCTAATGCTTTGGATGGGCCAAATGAGCAAACAGCAAATAATTGCACGTTTCAAAAGTGAAACTTGGTAGTAGCAGTTTTGAACACTTATCGTTGGGAGTCAAACCAAACATTTGTGTCAGTAATCAACAATGTGAGTAGACGTTGTTTCTGTGTAAATGAAGCCTTACCTGCATATTTCTCTATTCTCTTAAGTTCTGTAAAAGAAGATTAGAAACAAGAAAATAAGAAACTCCATCAGATTATAGCAGAATGCTCATTTAATGACTTAATAGACAAGGTAATAGTTGCATTACTCACCAGATTTTGAGAGCCTATTGACGTCCACCTTTATCTTTTCCATTACGTCTGCCAGTGCTCGTCTGGTGACCCCAACACAAGGGTCAGTTTCTATGGTAACCCTGGACCAGTCCTTCATCTCAGACGGGCTCATTGTGGGAACAATGGTCTGCATGAAATACAGTTTTAACTAATGGTACACAGTTACCATTATGATTATATGGGTAGAAGAAGGTGAAGATGCTTACCACTGTAACTTGTTCTGTATCATCATCACCCTGCTCACTGTTTCCAGGAACCTGGGGATCAGGTTCAGGGGTCTCCTTCTTTAGCGTCTGAATCTCCTGTTCAATCTCTTTCACCAGTGTTTCTACTTTCTTTTCCTCCTCCCTCTGCCTTCCCTCGATTGCGTCAACAACTGCTTTGTGATTCTTTTCCATAGCATGTACGAGGGCAGAGAAGACTTTCTGGCTCTCTCGCACCTCTCTGAGGTAAGAGTTCTGATTGGACATCATCATGAAGCATTATTACACTAAATACATTTGCTTTAAACATAGATTTTAAAGATCTAAAGTTGTTTAACTCACCTTTTGAAGCTCAAGAGCATATTTTAACCTTTCTATTTTCTGCAGCCTTTCCTGAATCATTAGCTCAACATTTATAACCTGTAAGAGATAAAAAAAAGAAATAAAGCAATATAAACCAATATCACATTTACAATTATGGGGCATACTGTATGTCCTTAGACCATTCAGAGGCTAAAAAAAAAGAGGGATATAAGCATACACAGATATATTTATTGAAGGAATACTTCACCACCATTAGCTCATGTGTTACCTTGAATTCTTAAAGAAAACATCGTTTTTTCTCACGTTTCAGCTTTAAATAAAACAATTCAAAACCAGACAGATCATTAATTAATAATTTTGAAAACACAATAAAGTACCAATTCCTCATCAGGTGGTTTCTCTGGCCGAGTCTTCCTGTATTTGTCCGAGACCTCAGCCAGAATGTGGTTAACACTGAGGTCGGGCCTGTCGGAGAACAGCCTCCTACAGTGCGGGCAGTATTTGGACTGGTGTCGTGTCCAGTATTGGCAGAGACAGGACAAGCAGAAGCTGTGTCCACATGGTATGGTCACTGGACTGGTGAAGATGTCTCTACACAGAGAGCACAAGAAGTGCTTTTCGGGCAGGAAGCTAATTGTAGAGGCCATACCCTGTAAATATCAATGACATGTTACCAAAGTATGAGGAAGCTATTGTGGTATTGGTAGATAAGCTTGCACTTAAAGGGTTGTTTTGTTTGGATAAAAAGATAAAACATAAAGAACCAGTAAGCTGAGGGCGATGTTGTACTGTACCTCTGAAATTGATTCCCATTTTATGAGGAAATATAATTTGTTATGGAAAAGAGCAATAACATTAGAAAGCTAATAGTTGAACAATGTCGTATTTGTTACTGAAAACACATCACTTGTGGAAAAATTATTACATTTCATCTTGAACCTGTCAGTGACTGCTTACATTTCTTTTAAAGCATAAGGAACGAAATGCACTTTCCGGAGATAAATGGGACACCATGTTCTTGAAGATTGCCCTCCTGTCGTGTTATGCAATTATACACAAAGGACAGGAAATGTGATTTTTCTTGTTAATCCACTGAAGTTACATTCATTCAGTGGAAAAGCTCCCCACAGTGAAGCCTACCCTTGTCTTCTTATTGTTATTGTCACAGATGTTTGTGTCAAGAGGTATTTCTTTGTGATCAAGTACAGATATGCTTTCAGAGAACGGAAGCAGCTCAAATATATACTGGAAGTATGTGGTCAAACAAGTAGTGATCAGTCACCCAGAGCTACAATACAACTCAACACAAAGCAATTACTGAAACGTTAAGTCCTGACTACATTGCACTCCTACATTAAAGCAGGAAACACCCTCTGAAACATTCAAGAAGGATTGATCTGGTCTTATTTCCTATAAAATAGGGCAGCTCTTCCAAAAATGAAACTGAATGTAATGTTACAACATTTACTCAGCAGAGAGTGATCTTACCTTTCAAAACCTTTCAAAGTCGATCTTGTCCAGATACACAGCGGCCACACCACACTGCTTCTACTCCAAGTTTCAGGTAGAGACTGCAAATGATTTACACTCAACAGGTGCATTAGGGTGTGTGTGTGTGTGTGTGTGTGTGTGTGTGTGTGTGTGTGTGTGTGTGTGTGTGTGTGTGTCTAAAAAAGAGGCAGTGCTTTAGACAATGGCACTCTCAGTTGAAACTCCACCCTGGATGTTATCTGAGCTTCTCTTCAACTAACCTATGGCTAGACACTAGGAAATGTTAGAGGCTGAATAAAACTCTCATGTGTGCTATCACAAATAAAATTAAAACTAAATGTATCCAAAATACTAATTTACAGTTTAAATCAGCCATTAGATTCACTTTTGTTATCCATTAACTATTCCCCTCAGCTGCATATAAAACAAGTCTTGTTCCAGTTTCAACCTAAAGGGAGTTGTTCAGATGTACATGTAGTACAGGTAGATACAACAGAAGATCATATTTTATTGTCACTTTAGTCCTGACAAACAGGTCCTAATAAGTCAACAGCATGCTTACAGTGTTGAAAAAAAGTATCCAAATGTATTCCAAGTAAAATCCTGCAAAGTAAATATCTAAGTATTATCAGCTAAATTTACTTAAAGCTAAAGTATTCATTATGCAGTCAGTGTTTTACTCTGATGTTTTGCCTATTCCTATTGCTGATGTATTTATGTGTATATGCATTTTAAAAGTTGTTTACTATTCTTTATAGAGTCACTGTATTGTGATCAATTATCGTTCCCAAAAAGTAGGACTTATTTTCTCAGACCATTAAAGGTGGGGTATGTAATTTTGGAGAAACCAGCTCGAGTGCGCTAGAATTTGAAAGTACCTAACAGAGCCCCTCCTCCAACACACACGAACGCGCACATGACCAATGAGGGCATGAGATAAGTTTGTGCACAGATGGAAGGCTGACAGGCAGGTAGGCCATCCAGTTATTTTAGCCGGGCCGGCTAAAATGATTGGTCATGCTTTTTACAGCGCCACAGCTTCCACAGATGAATTTTTTTAATGTATTTATTGTCAAAGCATTTCATATATTCATTGCTATCGGGATGTTAAGAGCATTCCATGGAATATAACAAAAAGTGTTTCTGAAATAAATTACATACCCCACCTTTAAGGAACACTTACTGATACTAGTTGTCTGTTTGTTTACTGGACAGTACACGTTACAAGTATGAGAAATTGTAATTGTAATGTAACTAAATATATAAGACATATGCAGTGGAGTAAAAATGTTTTAGATTTGTACCTCTTAAATTGTGTGGGGTAGAAGGTCAAAGTTGAACAAAAGCATAATTCTCAAGTATTTCATAAGCTAGTAAAACTCATACTTGGTCTACTGCACGCTAACAGGGACGAGTATTTGCAAAGAAGCGATTGATGAAGATTGAGTTGAAGTTGAGTCTGGCAGGAGGAGCCACTCTGTCCTCCATGTGCTCTACAGCCACCTGGGCTGTTCCTCCGGCCGATCCACCTACTGCACCACCTATGATCCCATAAAGAACCATCCCTCCTGGCCCCTCTATGGACCCGAACAGTGCCCCCATGACAGCTCCCACAACCAAACCTGTCCCAAGTCCTCTAGCCAGGGATGTTCTGAGCCATCTGTTGTCCATCTCTGCCATGGCTCTGATCTCTGCGCCTACATTTGCGATGTAGGCGTCCTTCTGTTGGTACAGCTCCTCCGCTATGTATTGCTTTTCCATCTCAACCCACGCCTTCTCTATCTCCCCTTCCCTCTGCTTCTTCAGCCTCTTCTCCTCCTTCTTAACGTATTCATCTGCCTTCTGGAAAGTTCTGCTGGAGAAGAATGCCCCTCCCAGGGACGCCACCATCCTCTCTATCTTCTTCAGCAGCTCTCTGTCCGAGCGTCGATCCCTCCAGTTCTTGCTGAAAATGTGAAAGCGTCCGCCGTACTGCTCGATCAAATCTCTCAGGAGCCAGTCAGTCTTCTCCACCCTGTCTTCCAGGGCAGGTAGCTCCAGGTTTCCTCCGTAGGCCAGGAGGACAATACAATGCCTTAGACAGTGTCTTCCATACCGCTCCATCATCATTTTGGGGGTTTTCATTTCATTTTTGGAGATTTTTTCCAAGTCAAAGGTGACAAGAAAGGCATGTGGACCAGGAGAGCATAAGCACTTAGACTTCCTCAGCTCCATCTCCCTCTTGACTTGACATATACCCTTGTCATAGATGTTTGGTGCATTGATCACAGCCACTCGTCTACCAGACAGCTCTCCAGTATTCTTTGTGCATTCAGAAATACTGGTGATATCCTTAGTAAAGGCCTCCCTCCCAAGTATGTAGTTTGTTAGTAGGAACTGTGAAGGTCCACAGCTACTGATCAGCACGAGCCTTAATTCTGTAGGAGATCCTGTGAAGAGATCAGTTGAAAGTGAGATCGAAGTAAGAACACATACAGTACATGCAATGTGTATTTGTTTACACCATAGGTTTACACGTATCAGTGTTATTGAACATGTTTAGTGCATCAATCTCATATGCAATAGGTCGCACGAGAGGCTGACATATTGTAAACATCAAGTGAAAATGAATCATATCTCTAACACTCAAAGAGTAACTCATACTAGGTTGTGTGCCATATATTAAAACTGCCAGTTATTGCTGTTCCTCTATGTTAATAGTTTTTTTTTGTTTCGTTGCTTTTATTTTATTTTATATTGGTTAAGGCTGTGCTTTTCTAACAATCCTATTTTATTCAGAGACATTTTTTTGTAGCTAATTAAGATTTCTCTACAATCCATAGCCATGATGTGAGGCTGTGCTTTGAGCTGAATGCTATTGACACACAAACGGAACATGCTGATTATCTCACCGTGCTAACTGTTGCTAATAAGCACAAAACAAAGTACGGCTGACTAATGGTAACCCCACAAGTTAGTTTTACAAATATTAGATCATAAACCGAGAACAAACTGCCACTGCCATGCTGCTTGGCTTAAAACCAAGACTTCTTGTAAAGGTTGATAAATCGCATGCATATAACCCAGCTTTTTAGCTTTGTTAGTTAAAGTGAAGCAGAGTCATTTGTTTACCCCCTGTTTATCGTAATGCAGTGACCTTACCTTTCTTCCTCTCCATTTTGTAGATTTTACAGCACAGATTCGCTCTTTCAAATTGGATTCTCACAGAGTTTGCAGCTTCTCACTGGACTGAGGTCATCACCATAACTGTGCCATGTATTCAATGAAAACACATCCCCCTCTTTCTCTCCCTCTCTCTCTTGATTAGGTAATAGGTATCAGATTTAATATTAGGTGGAAAATGGCCACAGGGGTGAAAAGCTGGCAGTGAGCACATTCCACATTAACATTTATTGACATCCCTAATTAAATAATTAAAAGTTCGTAATAATTTACAGCGTTATGTACCTTTGTACTTTGGAAAAACTGAAGCGTGAAATAACAGCAGGATTTATATATTTTCTTTGTGGTGGATGATGTGATTTTCTAATTTTGAAGTGTTTTTTTATAATCATCATCACAACAAACCCTCAAGTGTTAATCACCACTGATCAGAGGTAATTATTTTAAGAGGACAAGAACAGACTAAGGAGTTGTCGGTCCTCCAGCAAAGCTATATGGCTCTTACCTCACAATGATGTCGACATTTAATTAATTGTAACCTTGATTAGTACATTATTTTTATGAATATATAAACACTGATTTTAAAGGTGATATTTGCAAGCTTATCTCACTGCCAGCCAACCAGAAAGTGTATTATTCATGGGCTCAGAGAAATCAATAGCTAATTAAAGTAGTTCATCCTGCAGAGCACACATGTATTTTCTAAATATAGGCTAGTGTCCTTATGTGTAGTCACTTATACAAAAAATACATGTGTTTAAAATAACTAATCACATGCAACATGTCCAACATGAATAGATAAAAACATGGTAAGCTCTGTGGCCATGGGTGTTATAGTATTGTGTTTTTGTTTTTTGAATCAGCTTTACTTTACTTGTTATTTTATGTTTTAAAATAAATATTTTCATATAGATTAATAAATTCAGTCTCTTTTTTTTGAAAATGTAATTAATGTGCTTTTCAATTTCAAGCATTTAACATGAGTAAAGTGTGTATGAGACGTTATTAACCATCATAGAGGAGAGAAAATGCAGAAAATGTTCGATTTACTTAAACTCAATACTCACCACGCAATTACACTTTTGCCAATTTATCAGATTTAGCATTTAAAATGTTACACAAGTGCAAACCGCCCATAGTAACACACAGTGGTGTGTGTTTGTGAACAAGTGACTCTCACGCCAGTAAAAAACAATTAAACAGCGCCACTGTGTGGTTACACTGTGTAACACACAAAGAGGAAATCACATATGCGTATTTCCGGTTTCGAGCAACGTCACAGGCAAAACCAGGAAGCACTTTGTAAACATTACGCTACTTCGTAGTAACTTTAACCACATTGCTGTCGTGCAAACTAAGAGACATAGCGTGTCTTCATGATGAAGCCAGCCTGTTGCAGCTCTGCGGGAGCGTGTGTTGAAGTGAAGGAAACACCCAGACAGACAGATAGACAAACCCTGACAGAATGATCAGAATGATGAGACACGCGCTGCACGCGGGGAGAGGAGCCCTCTGTCTGCGCAGCTTCTCTGAAACTAGAGGAGAGGTCATTGAGGATGTTCTTCAAAGGACAGACTCTGCACGCCTCACAAACGAGGCGTCGCTCTACGTGCACGTGAGCTGATTTTGATCAGTGTACCTTATGTTTCTATGCAAAGCAATGTGCACACCAATCCACTGCACATACTCACCGACACCCTATGTCTAGAACGTTTGCTAAACTGTCACATGTCAGTGTCACTCCCTCTTGGTGAAGTTAGTTTTAGAATGGAGATATTCACTCTGGATCCATCAGCGTCTTCTTCCTCAGTTGCTGACTGTCGACAGTCAGAGGAAAGTTAGTTCACCTCCAAGCTGTGGTGTAAAGTAACTAGTAATTTGACTCAAGTACTTAAGTACAATGTTGAGATACTAGTACTTTACTTCAGTATTTACATGTGTAGCTACTTTGTACTTCTGCCCCACTACAACTCGTGTATTAAATACCTTTAGTTACTTTGAAGATTTGGATTAATGATTTTAATTATATTCAACACTTAAATAAGACTTTAGTTACACCTGGAGTCAAATTAAGCTACCCTGCAGTATGCAAAGCCATTAAAACTAGCTGCACCTTTACCAGCTTTGATAAACACATTTGTGCATCAATAAATATAATCAAAATATATTATGTATTATTCTGAAATGGGTCCATTTGTATAATGAATACTTTTACTTGAGTAACATTTGCAATGCCGGACTTGTACTTGTAACAGAGTATTCCTAAACTCTGGTACTTCTACTTCTACTTAAGTAAGAAGTATAATCTTGTAAGTACAAGATCTGAGTACCCAGGACAGTCAGCCCACACCCGAGCCCTCACTTTGAACTACAGAGTTTCTTATCAGGGAACTAACTCTCCTCTGACTGACAGTCTGTGAAACAAAGTAAGAAGACACTGCTGGATGATCCAGAGTGAATGTCTGTTGAGTTTTCCACCTAAGACTAACTTCAACGTGTCCTTTCTCCTCTCCTCTCCCACAGTGGCCTTACTGTCTCAGAAGGTGTTCCTACTGCAACTTTAACAAATACATACCCAGAGAGAACAATGATCACATGATGACCGAGTGCCTTCAGAGGGAGACTGAGACGTTGCTGCAGCTCAGTCAGGTATCCTGGTATGGTGACTTGTTAAATTCCAGTTTGAAATCAGCTTTGAACATGTGACTCCACCCCCTTAACATTTAAATGTCTCCCTGCAGCATCACATCAGTGTTTTTTGGTGGTGGGACTCCAAGCCTGGCTCATCCTTCTACCATCGCTGCAGTCCTTGAAACCGTTTCCAGGCAGGCGAACCTCTCAGATACAGCTGAGGTCACACTGGAGGTCAACCCTACTCCTGTGGGAAGGTCAAAGTTAGAGGACTTCTTCCATGCAGGGGTGAACCGTTTCTCCATCGGGGTCCAGGTGAATACTCTATAAAATGCTTTTCACAGAAGATTAGATTATTTTAGCTTTTATATATTTATTTATTTTGTTTTTCCTTAGGTCCAGCTATAATATCTCTGAAGTACATTTACAGAAAATGTGCCCTTTTCTTTGTTAGTTAATCATCAAAAACTGAAATACATTTAGCTTGTGTTATCTTATTTGATTTGTCACAGTTTTTTAAGCAGGCAAAATAGTTTCAGCTGAATTTTGCCTGAAGGTAGCATTTTATTTATTTAGTTGACAGTTTCATAACAATATTCTACACTGATTTTTTGCGTTTTACTTTCAGTTTACTGTAATTAACCTGTTGTACATGTTCAAGTCTTTGCAGGATGAAGATTTGAAAGTCCTGGGAAGAGACCACAGCCCTCAGCAGGCTTTGCTAACTGTGGCAGAGGCCAGGAGGCTGTGCCCCGGGAGGGTGTCGGTGGACGTCATGTTTGGACGTCCCAAACAGAGCGTTGAATCCTGGGAGAATGAGTTGTCTGAGCTGTTAAGGGTGTGCGACGACCACGTGTCTCTGTACCAGCTAACATTGGAGCGAGGCACACAGCTGTTCAAACAGGTGCTGGAAGGAGAGGTGACCCTGCCCACTGAAGAGGAGACAGCAGAGATGTACCTGTGTGCCAGGAAGACCCTCCACCAGCACGGCCTCCTGCAGTACGAGGTGTCTAACTTTGCCAGACAAGTAAGTCCTCAGCAGAAAGACAGCACTCTCATTGTCCTCCGCTCCTTAGGAAACATTACAACTTTTATCAACATAACAGGAAAGTTTGCAACGTTTAAAACACAATTAGATACAGTTAATGAAATCGACTCCAAGAGTGAACAAATTACAGCAATGATCCTTGTAAAGACAGCACTATGACAAAACAATTTGCTCCTATGATTACTTATTTAAATGTAGCTAAGGTGATATTGTTATGTGCTGATATTTTTGATTTAGCTAAAACCAACATTTTTTTAAAGGGTATTTTTATTTATTTTCATTGTTGGAGATTCCTCTATGTAGTTGCACATTATGATCTATCATTTTAAATGTGTGTTTGCTGAACTGTCAATATTTTACTTTTAGATTTCTGACAAATCAGTCATGTGTAATTCAAATGTACATTTTATAAAAAAAGAGAATTAATAAACCACAAGGAAAATACCTTTTTAAATAGAAAACATTATTAGGTAAAGAGTTAAAAAAGACATTGCTTCAGAACAAATGATTATAATTCGGAGAGATCCGCCTGACTAATAGTCCAGTTTCTGTTTGTTCCTAATGAAATGTCTTAAGCATCACTCCATCAACAGGGCAGATGTCTGTTCTGTTTTGCGCCATATTGCCTCGTGTCTGAGAGAAACAGTCACAATAACACAATAACACTTCACTTGTTACGTAGAACGCAGTGAGTCATCACAACAGGAGCTACTGGAAGGGAACGCAGTACATCGGGGTCGGCCCAGGTGAGCTACTACCTAGAATAAAGGCAGTGCAATAGAGAATATTGTACTGGTTGAAAAGTTCAAATTGTTGTCTTTGGCAGGAGCTCACGGACGGTTTGTCCCTGTGGGGGAGGGGGGGGTCCTCCGCGAGGCCCGGACCCAGACTCTGGAGCCTGACATCTGGATGCGTGAGGTCCAGCAGAAGGGACATGCGACACGGAGGAGGATTCAACTCAGCCATCTTGAACTGTAAGCTTCACGACCTATAGTGTTGTGTTTGGTGACGAGTGTAATTGGTTAGTAAATGAAAGTGGGGCTGTCATTTCCATGTGAAATGTAACAACCCCAGTGTGAGAAGCATGGTGTTATTTTACATGTTCTTGCTCTTTCAGATATTCTGTCCTCGTGAAACTCTATTATCCAATTGTTTACTCACTCCGTCCTAATAACTGTCAAAGCGACTGAGAATCTGTTCACAAAGATTTCTCTCTGGCAGATTGGAGGAGGTGTTGGTGATGGGAATGAGAATGACGGAGGGCATCGATCACAAGGTGGATCTTTTGTACTTACATGAAATGCACTATTAGAACTTTTTTTTTTAAAAGCCAACTTACTTTGTTATATTCTTTGTCAACAAAAGGGATGTTCAGTGTTCAACACATCTTGAACAATGTATAATTGATCATTTTCTGATATTCAACAGCATTGGGAGTTGTTTAGCCCTCAGCTGGGCCTCCATGAAGTGTTTGGTACATCCAGCGATGTCCAAGAGTTGCTTCAGAGAGGACAACTCATTCTTGATGAGAGGTGACTCATCATTATCATTTTTAAATACTTGAAGTTTGCAATTTCCCCTGACAAGAAAGACAATAGCGACTTGTGTAAGGCGAGTGTGAGGCAATTTATCTGCTGCTCATTTTCTTGATTTAATTGTTTTGTCTAAAAAGTATCAACAAATAGTTCAAAATGTCAATGCCTATTTATCAAAGTCCAATGTTATGTCTTCAAATCTCGTTTTTTTTCTGTTAAAACCCCAAATATAATCAGTTTATTTGATATAAAAAAGAAAAGTAAAAGACAGAAAATCGGCTTATTTGCAAGGCTAAAAACAGCAGTTTTTTATTTCGCGTGTATATTTACAGTTGATTGATTATCAAAATAGTTATTTAGTCAGTTTTTCAGTTGAACTCATACCCCTGGTGATGCGATCTGATGTTTTTATCCTACCGTATAAGGTTTTGGAAAATAGCAAGAGACATCACTTTAAGAGCATAAAGTTTTACCTTGGCTTTATATAGTAAATAAATATATGCATTATAAATACATTTAAGAATGAAGGTTTAGTCGTGATACGGCTGAAGAACACGTTCCTCCCCGACTTTAAAGTACTGAATACTTGAGCTGTACTTGGCAGTAAACCCAGAACATATTATATAAATGCAGCTTTTCTACATTTAACCAGCACTTTTTCAAACCAAGGCCACTCTGTAAGAACACTTCACATAATAGTTTCTCTCTGCTACGCCTCAAGAGTGGGTTGGACAATGCACTTGTAGAGAAAGGAAAGACTGATTGCCATGGAGATGCAATCTCTACATCATAGAACATAGATCCCATGATGGGAAACATAATAGAGATTTGCTCTGCTATTTCTCTTGGTGTACTGATGCATTTTATATGTACACACTGTAAAAAATGAGCTGAAATTAAGCTGGTTTTTTGGCTTGTGTAACCATTAGCCAATAACCAACCAAGGTAACCCCCCCCCCCACCACCTTATCACCTGAATCTCCTCCTAGAGCAACATTGTGTTCTTTTTAACCAAATCTCTCTCAGTGGGGAGGGGCTCCTTATTTTCATCTAAAGTCACAGACAGAGAATCAACACTTTTGAAAAAGGCCTGAAACAGAGGGGTTTATGGGATGCTGCAATGCATGATCTGTTTGGTATTTCGAGTCAAACACTTCAGAGCCATGTTTTGTATATATCTGAGAACTATAATATGTTGATGAAAAACAGTATAATAGGGAACCTTTAAGGTCAGAAGAAAATAAGAAATTACTCAAACATGCAGACATACTTGTATTATGTTTAAACCTACAGTAAGAAACAATAAGAAAGGAAACCCAATATCAACAAAACATCAGGGTTAATCCTCTCTCCCGTTACTATAATTTCTCTTCCTGAAGGTTTACAAACCACTCTTAGTCACTCTACAACGTCCTGCTGGGCCAATAGATTTCAATTGTAATCACACTTACAGACGCTGTCACATACTCGATGGCACCATGGGTACATGTTTAAATATAGAAACCACTGGCACATATCCCACAATGTTCGTATTTATAGAAATTATTGGACCACGTCATCAACCTCTCAAACTGACACTATCAAAATACGCATTTAGTTCGTAATAATTATTCTGTTGATCAACTAATCAACTAGTCATTTCAGCTCTACTTTTCAGCACTCTAAAACATACTTACTACAAATTCAGTTAGGAAATTGATAAAGCTGGAACCAGGGAATGTTTGGCATTCTTTTGGAAATAATAAGATAAGACTTTATTTATCCCGAAGGAAATTGTTGTGCCAGAGTTACAAAAATGCAATAAACACAGCAGCTTAATAATAAAACTGTACACTGACAGTGCAGTAAAAGAGCAATTAAATATCTACAGGAAACAGACGGTCACATCATTAATGTACATATTAACAGTATTTAGTAGTGCAAAAAACCCGCAGTAATTGCACGTTATTATAGAACATTATTAATAATAATACATGTTATATTAGAGAATATATCATTGCCACACACCTGATTTATCAGTAGTTGCATGCCTGTAATTGATTTTTTGATTTCTGTCTTTGTTTTCCTTTCCCCGTTATCAGAGGCCTGCGCTGCTCCTGGGAGGGACTGGCCTTACTGGACAGCCTGCTGCCAGCTCTACTGGTGGAGCTGGAGAGAAGAGTCAGTCTGAGGCTACAGGAGGACGAGCATGCTAAAGGACAAACAAATAGGACCTCTAACACACGATGACAGTATTGGTAATGTGAAGCTGACAATTGAGCGGCCCGACCAAGCAAGGAGGCAGAGGCAGAACGTCCAAAAATATAACCCGGTGTGGGCATTTATTAAACTTGAGCACAGGACACAGCCTCAATCTTGCTGTTCCTGTGCACACAGTCACCAGCCACTACAAGGATCTCACACACACTACCAGCCTCAAAATAGACAGGGCAACAGACCCTAAATACACACACTAATCAGCAATTCGACACAGGTGGGGGGGGGGAGGAGACAACACAGGGCACCAGGTGCACACAATCAACAGACACAGACATGGGGGAAGGGGAACACTTTTAACATGAAACCAGGAAACAGAGACAGACAAACTAGTTACATAAATTACATATATTCCCATGCTTCCTGTGCAATGTTTTTAGTGCTATATTACCCGTAACGGAGGCCGAGATCTATGGGCCCAGAGATCACCTCTGTTACAGGTAACAAAGGCAATATCTTCGGAGAAAGCTGTATTGAGGGTCTGGCGGACTGGACGTGTAAAACAAATCCCCATAACAGGCAGATATTTATTAAAACAACCCCACATATTTAAGTTTTATGTATATAACGTTTTATGTTGTGTATTGAAATTCATTATTTAAACCGTTGCCATATTTTACACTGTGTTTTCTTTTTACTGTTACTTTGCTGTTTAGTTGGCAGCACAACAATCCCCTATTTGTTTGTATGGATTATATTTTATATTATATTGTCTCTTTATCGCACTGTAAGTACCGTCATCACTCTGATTGGATAAGAACATTTGATGATAATATATTTCATAAGGCCTTGAGGTGCTATCATGCAGTTATTGCTTGCGCTGAAACATTTCTTAATAGATATTTTCATTCAAATATGATTATTCCTCTCCCAGTACACAGGATATTGTGAGAATAAAGGTTTTAATTCATGGATACATTTGAGATTCATCTTTGTGAGTTAATTGTTTCCCTGGTCTGTCATTTCCTTGTGTTAGAACACATTAGTGAAGATCTACGGCTGATATGTTCAACACACCTGAATCAAATGAATGTTGTAAAATCTAATTAGCTGCTATTATTTGAAAATGTGTATGACTCATTCAGCAACATTTTAATTAAACTCGCTAAAAAAACATCTTGCAGGAAAGATGGTAAGAACATTGGTTTTTAAATGAGTGTTACAACCAGAGAGATTCATGAACATGTACGGATCTAGTTTAGAAGTTTGCAAAGTTCACATTTGAATGAACAATGTTGCAGTGTTAATGTGTATGCACCTTCACAAGTGGAACATTTAGTTAACACTGGATTTTATTCTCCATCGTTTATTTAAAACATTTCAACGTGTATATCTTTAACTACAACTAATGCCAACATATAAATGTGTGATACTATATTTATTGTCCTTTGACGGTCACTTTAGTTTGTAGAGTTAAAAAGCAGTGGTAGATTTCCAGAGGAACCCCATTCTGTGATTATTTTATAACTAACTATAAAACATTTTCATTTTTGTAAAGATGAATTAGTGGATTTGTGCTCCTAAGGAGAATTTGAGTCTTTTCAAAGAAGACACAATTCCCTGTGTAATCATGTTTAGATGACAATGAAATGACTCAGAGTAGCAATAAAGGAAGCACCTGGAAGCAAATTAAATATATGAACTATTATTCTGAATACAGTGTTCTCTTACCAGTAGCCACTTTAGTATACGCCTGGTATATCTGCTATAGGGAGTGTGTTACTCATGAGGCTAAAATGACGAGTGCATGGATACAGTCTCTGCTGTGCAGTAGTCACGACTCTCAGGGTTAAGAACAGCTCTCTGCTCTATGATTCATGAAGCAGGATGATGAGTCTGCTGCAGCATCTCTGTCAGCTACAGCAACTGAAATATGGTTTTCATTTATTTAAATACAGTTGGGAACGCGAGCAAAATTGCGTCAAATAGTTTGATAGGGAAAGTTCAAATGGATGTGTTATACAGTACAGCTGCCAAGCTTTAATGCTGCTCTTGATATGGCACAAACAAGTACCTTTTCAGTTCAATGCAGTATACTCGATAACTGACACACACCATCCTTTTTCACAAGTGAAGGACACTCTGAACAGACAGCCTACGCAATGGTTTCTTCAAAGAAACCCGTGGAGATATATTGGAAAGAAAAGGCTGAGTGTTTTAAAATTGAATTGCTACTCAGTGGTATATCAGGGTTTGTGTGGGCTCTCTCCATGGTGCTGATTTAAGAGTCCAGCATGTCTCTCACCCTCTCCCCTCTGTAATACGTGATGCTTTAACTCTTTGTTTCCCTCATTATGGTGACACATGAGTGTTTAGGCTATTATTATAAATCGTTGTTACATCTCAGCTCTTGGTGCCATTCACAGCAGTGTGCGGATTTAAAATTAGAGCTAACTATTGTGTTGTGAGCGAATATAAGAAGACGTTTAAGATCAGTGTGAGTCATCTCCTTACTATAATGAGGTCCCAAGATCCACTTGAATTAATTGCTGACGTACATGAACACAATCTAAGAATATCTGCATCTCATTAATAAACTGCATGTCTGAAATAAAGTGAATGTTAGACCAGAAACACATATGACAATTGGAAATATTGTTTTTATTAACATAAGATAATATAAATTCAGTTACATACAAAAACAAGAAATGAATGCACTGCATGGTCCAGCCATGTGCCGCAGAGTATAACTCCTTACATAATATGATATTGCAGAATACTACTACAATTGGTTTGATCGAGAAGGCTTGAAATTCATTGAATCTGACACCTCTCGGTTTTGTTGTGTTTGGTGCTTGATTTCAGCACCAGGCGCAGGTCGCTGGTGAAGCTCGGGCGGCACGCCAGAGGGTCCACTGCGGCACAGGGCGCACAGAGACCCCGGCTCCCTCTCCTGCCCCGCCGGCCGATGCACATCGACTGGTAGGTGAAGAGGGATATCATCTCATGCCGTGACGGAATTGTCTCGTCAGGTAGTCTGCCTACAGAGGCTAGGCCCCTGAACGCAGCTTCCATCCCAGTACCATCTTTAGCAGAGGTTTCGAAGAATGTCACATCCTCACCGAGGGCTTCTGCTACCTCTGACTGCCTGACGACTCTCTGCGCCTTCAAGTCCGCTTTGTTCCCACATATCACAACTGGTGGGACTCTCGGGAGATGTTTACATTTCAGTAATTTCGCCTTAGCGTCTTTGATCTCGTTTAGAAAATCACAGACTTTATTGAAGGACTCTCTGTCATCCAAACTGAACACAAGCAGGAAGGTGTCACCTGGAGAGAAAGAGATTGAGATTGTTAAAGCATGTCATGTTATATTATATTCCTAAAACAACACCGAATTCTACAGTTTATCAACATCTGCAATGATTAACCATCAAGTGCCTCACCTGTCAGAATGGATAGCCTCCGTTTTGCAGGGAAGTCCCTCTCACTCGGGGCGTCCAGAATATCGATCTGGTATGCCTCCCCTCCTATGTAGAAGAGTTTTCTGTGGAAGTCCTCGATTGTGGGTTCGTATTGTTCGTCAAATTGTTTCCCCAAGAATCGTTGAAGGATGTTGGTTTTGCCTACTTTTGGCGCGCCAAGCACCACTATTCTGTGACAGTTCTTGGGCTTGGCCAGACCCAGCTCCATCAGATCCACGGACCTATAGGGGAGTCGATCACTTGAAACCTGCCGATTTCCAGAACTGGATCTACTTTCAACCCCGTGTTGTCTCAAGTGCCCTTTCACCGTTTTGATGATGCCCATGCCTGTCTTGGATATATTTGAGACTTTGGGGTGCGTGAGTACTGGGATAAGGGCTGAGCTCTGCATGCCTGGGTGCGTGATGCCTGATTGTTGATGCCTGGTGAGAGAGTTGAACGTTTCGAGGATGCCATCAACGGAAAGGTAAATCGTTGCGTTCATCTCCGTTTTCTTTCAAGCGTCCCCAGACACCAGAGGCTATCAAAATCTTACCGACCCAAGTTGCTTCTCCATGTGTGCGTAGAAACAGAGCCGGGAGGCGCCTCTTATACACCCACAAACAGCGCAGTACCTGCGTCACGCTTTCACACAGAGCAAACGCTCCTTATATAGAAAGACAAAGCATGCAGCCCACAAACAAAAAACACACACGATCTCCTTTTTTAACTATTGCAGTTTTCCTTTGAAGGATTTAGGTCGATAAGTGTGGGAAGAGAGAGGAGTCAAAGAGAGAGGAGTTTCCCAAATCTATATGTTTGTGTCCAAAGACTAAAATAAACCAAATCAGACGTTTGTTCTGAGGCAAACCCTTGGGAAATTCTGATCTGTTCAAACCTAATCAATGATCTATTTTTAGCCATGTTCAGGTGTTGTCATTATGGATGATACATTAGCAGTCCTTAGCGTCAATAAGATGGACACTGAAGGTTTGAACCCTAATAATTGTGTATCCTCTCCTAACAATGCTGTCATGTTGATAATAATAATTTTTTTGGCAGTTTTGTGGGAACCTGTTTTTTTCATGTGTATGTTTTAAAAACCATCATGGTGTTTCTTAAAAAAAGAGACTTGTATATTCCTGCTCAGCCTGACTATAAACATCTGGAAATACAGAGTTGTCAAAATGTGTTTATTTGTATCCAAAGAGTCTATTGAGTATGATAAGGAAAACGCCACACATTACATGTTACTTGCTAGATGATTTATCCAAAGCGACTTACATACTCAATACCGTGGGCAATCCCCATAGGAGCAATTTGGGGTGAGGTGTCTTGCCCAGGGACACAACGACATGCTGACTGCAGTGGGGTTTGAACCTGTGACCCCCTGATCCCAACACCAATGCTCAACCCACTGCACCACACGCCTCCCCGCTGCACACATTTAGTTCTTATTGTCATGGAGTCTTTAAATCTTTAACAGACATGGAAAAAAGCAAGACGGTTTTCCAAGTGTATAAAGTAGTTTCAATGACAAATAATTTTAGTTGCGGGCACAAATACATTAAAATAGTCCAAATCAGACTTAAATGATGCTTTTGTACATGTTGTCCTGAGACAAATTCTTGTTATATTCTGATGTATTCAAACTTAATTACTGTACATCATAGGCTACTATGTTTTAGCACCTCACATTTAGATGTCCACATTATAAATAAAAGATGAATGACAGATAACTGGCAAAACCCCTGTTGCCATGGACACTGGATGTGAGAGCATTATATAGACTTGTCTTCTTCCTCTCCGTTTACAATGCTGCCAGGATTTCAATTAACATTTTGTATGTTTTTCAGTTCATTTGTCACTTTTTAGTATTTGACTATGTTCATATTACCCTCACACTTTTTGTTTGTTGCATAAGCCTATCCAAAAGATGTGCCTATACGTAGCCTGACATTGCTGTGAATCTGGGATTGCATTATTCGTGAGGCTGTCATGAACAGTACTTGCAAACCTTGCATTTTTCTGAAGTGATCACAACGCTCTCAGTATCAAGACTTGAGAAACAGCTCACTATCTGCTCTAGAACTCACATGCCTCGTTATGCAATCGGATGTTTTTTTCCTTCTATATAAGGGTTTGGAAAATAGCAAGAGACATCACTTTAAGGGCATAAAGATTTACCTTTGCTTTATAGTCAATAATATATATGCATTTATATATATTTAAGAGGGAAGGTTTAGTCGTGATACAGCTAAAGAACACGTTCCTCCCCGACTTTAAAGTACTGAATATTTTAGCTGTACTTGGCAGTAAACCACGAAGCCAGAACATATTATATAAATGCAGCTTTTCTACATTCAACCAGCCCTTTTACAAACCAAGGCCACTCTGTAAGAACACTTCACATAATGGTTTTCTCTCTGCTAAACCTGAAGAGGATAAGTCGCTGTACGCTGATGGGAACCCTAACAATAAGGAAGGAAACCTAATATCAACCAGGGTTAATCCTCCC